CCCATAACCTACTTCCCAGTCTTCTCCTTGTACCTCATTAGTCCAGGGGCACTGGCCTCCTGGCTGTTCCACACACAAGACACTTCATCTCTCAGTTCTGGCCATTCTCTCTGGCTGTCCCCCATGCCTGGAATGATTTCCCTCTTCCACTCTGACTTCTAACCTCCTTGACTTCCTGTAAGTCCCAACTAAAATCTCACCTTCTACAGGAAGTCTTCCTCAACTTCTCTTAATCCTAGTGCTTTCCCCTCTGTTAATATCCTATTATTATTATATATCATTATATTATTTCCTATTTATAGCTTGCTTTGCATATATGTTTGCATGTTGTCTCCCCCATTGGATTTTAAGCTCCTTGAGGTCAGGAACTGTCTTGTACCTCTTTTTGTAGATCCAGCACTTGGCACAGAGCCAGGAACACATGAGAAGCTCAACAAATGTTTGAGCGAATGAATGGGTAGGAAGCAAGCTCCAGTTCTCCTATGAAGGGCTTTAACTAGGGCACAACTAGTCCTGAGGGTATAGGTACGCCCTGGTTGATCTTGTGCAAACTGGTCTCATCCCACTACATCTACATAATCTTGGTTCCCTTCTCTAAAGAACAATTTCCTCTTCTGTAAAATAAGGGGATAGGAGTAGATAACCTCTTAAGATCTCTTCCATCTCTAAACCTATGATCTCATAATCAAAATAATTTCCCCACACCCCAAAACATACAGCTGAAGTTGACCAGGGATTCCAGAGTTGAGACCCAAAGCCCTGGTAGGGTGGGAAATGCATTTTCTATGTCCGAAAAAAAAAAGGGGGGTGGGATATAAGGGTAAATTCTGTTATTAGAGCAAATATCAGAGAAGCCATTTAAACTACAGATTACCTTGTTTTTTGTCTCATGTCTATTAAAAACCTGAACCCTTCAAAAGCATACTGTTGCTGCTACCCTTTCATTATCCTTACTCCTCTTTAGCAGGTTTCTCTCCCTCCAAGGAGTAATGTTTTAATTTATTTTTCAAGTCCCACAGGAGGTTTGAATTTAATTTTTATTTGGCTCTGGTGTTTCTACACAATTATAAAATTATTTTAAAAGAGATTTAAGATTGGCATTTAGATGTATAATGCAAGAACCATTTACTTTTTATCAAGGAGCACCTCAGTAAAAGCCCATGAAAATGTGCTGAAAAAGGAGCTTGGGATGGCAATAAGCCATGCTCTGCAGGAAATGTGGTCGGTTAAGATGACGCGTTTATCAAACTAGTTGCAGGACCAGTCAGACCCCTACAGGTGTCAAGAAGAGATAAAAAAACTGGAAGAGTAGTTGTGTTAGGGAGGATTAGCTATTTAAACAGCCAATTAGGACACAATTAAGGCCAACCTGGCCTCTTGCTGAGGGTGAATTAGATCCTTAACAAAAACAGACTGAGTGCCCTCTGGGAGATTAATGGATCCTTTTCTACACATTTCTGGGTTTGTTCTGCTCTAATTTTCAATCTTAGGAAACTGAATCCCTTTGCCAGGCTCTGGGTGGGTGGTCACAATCATCTAACCATTGAGAAAGGCCTTGGAAGACATCCTGACTTTTATATAACTTTACCTCAGGTGTTTATCAGCAGTCCTTTCCCCTATGGTTTTCTTCATATTAGTTTGAGATGTAGTACCAGTTTGGTTTTAGGATGATGCTACCAGTGAGGATGTTTCAGTATCTAAGATCCAGTGTTTTCTGTGCACCTGATCCATACCTTAATGGTAATATACTCTTTCAAATGATATTTTTAAAAAATCTTTAATCTGCTTAAATTTAGTGGGAAATGCAAATGCAGAGGGATCTGGCCACCAAATAAAATGGTTAAAGGCCTTTCAGAAAACTAGGAGAGGGTTTTCAAATTGAGCTGCATTGAATCCACAGCCAGGGGTTTCTACCCTGCTCTCCTCACCAGAAATTGGACCCTTTCACTTGATTTTAAGTTTAAAGCAATACTCTGGTTTTAGATGGTGCCATTGACTCCACCATCCAGGTAATTAGACAAATAAATCCTGAGCCCAGGTGGTCAAGTGGCAAATTGCTTCCTTTTTTGGGGGGGGGCGGGGCTGAAGAGTTTGGGAGAGAACAAGTTGGCACAGTGTTCATAGGATTTCAGTTTGAGATCTTGAAGAGACCCTAGTCCAATCCCCTTTCAAAGATGAAGAAATTGAGATTCTGAGAAGTTAAATGACTTGCCCTGGGTCACATAGCTAGCAAAGTGTCTGAGGCCAAGCCCAGCACCCTAACCACTATACCATGCTGCCCCATTGTTGGGCCTTTTAAAAATATGCTTATCCACAAAGTTATTGCTATATGCCTCTGTAGGTGTGACAGCGCACACAGCGATTATTTATAACAACTTTTAAAACCTTGCTAGTTTTTGCCTTTGCCATTCTACAGTTTCTTGTACTAATGCCTCCTGAGGTCCAATTGTTATATGTTCAGGGAATACATACTAATTTTTTTTTTGGCCTAAGAAAAACAGCTAAGTTTGCCTCAAAAATAATTACTGAAAGCATGTCAAAACAGATTTTGAGATCACCTTCTGATTATCTGTAACCACCAGGCCATGGCTAATTAGGGGTTTTGGTTATTGGTGTAACCAATCAGAAAGTAGGTCTGTGGGGAGAAAGTCTAGGAGAAATAGTCATTCCTAGGTCAGAGAAAAATGATTTTTTAATTCAGAGTAGCTGGAGGTTATTCAAGTTACCAAACAGTTACTGATCAGTTGGTATAACAGCATTATCACTATTGATTAAAAATTTCCTCCTTCTTTTGAGTTGATCCTGTTACTGAAAAGGCAATCATAATTTTTTTTTTAGGCAATTGGGGTTAAGTGACTTGCCCACGGTCACACAGCTAGTAAGTGTCAAGTGTTTGGTCTGAGGCCACATTTGAACTCAGGTCCTCTTGACTTCAGGGCTGGTGCTGTATCCACTTCACCATCTAGCTGACCTGGTAATCATAATTATTAAGTGGTTAAAGGATCAACATGGCTGAACCCACAGTCCTGGAAAACAAGCATCTGTTCTAGCATTGATTTGTTGCACATTTCTTACCTGGTTTTGAAAACACAACAGAATTTTTCATTCAAGTTAGAAACAGCTAAGACTGGTTCTCTTCACATTTTTTACCATAAATATGAGAAGAAAGGAGCTCAGTCAAAAAGTAAACCAGAAATCTCAAGACATTATGAGGGGGATTCAGGGGACTAGCTCTAATAGGAATGGTATTGTTAACTCTGAAAGAAATTCTTATTTTGGGCCACCAGAGTTAGCCTCTAGTAATGTTTTTTCTCTTTTCCCTAGGGCTAGCCTGTCACTTCCAAAAGACATCAGTGACATACACAGTCATCTGGGACATGCCTGTGGCTTCCTAATACCACTTGGAGCCAGACCATATCCAAGTCAACCTCATCAGACAGGCCCCTAATGGACTAAAAATACACTCCCTGTGCTGCAATTAATTTAAGCTGTGCCCCTCTTTGTCAAAGTTGCTCATGGGGAAAGGGAGGGAAGTGGGGGGGGGCAGCAAAAGTGAAAATTTAATTGTTTAGGCAACAGTTACAGTCACTCCCCAAAAGGCTGCATCATAAACCAAATATCTTCAGACCCAAGGTGCAAATCTTAGAAATATGTCCAGCAATGTGTTTTGTAATGTTAAAAAACTTTTTTAAAAGAGAAAACCAGTGATCATTATCAAAAGAAAATAATGTTGTGTTTTTTATTTCTCATGCAAACTGATGGATGCTAGGTTTTCAAGAAACCTGGGAGTTACAAACAGCAGGACATGGCCCATTACAGGGTAGAAACTCAAGTTTGAGGATGTGAACCAACTTTGTTTTTTTCTCAACCTGTGATTTCACTGGTGCAGAAACTCCTTCCACAGAGGTAGCTCTGCAATTTGTGTATTTTATAGTTATTAGAGTAGCTAAGTGTGGTTAAGTGAATTATTATCTATGGTCATAAAGCTAATATTTGTGAAGAGGCAAGACTTGAATCCAGGTCTTTCTGACTCTAAGGTCAGCCCTGTCTCCACTATATCACTCTGCCTCTGAATCAGTTCATACTAAAATATAATAGAAGGCTTAAATTAGCAATTGCTCCAGCAACATAACATCTCCTTACACAGTTTTTCTACTGGTGTCTTTCATCTCCATAGAAAAGTTGTTATTATTTTTTTTGCCCCATATTCAGGCTGGCTTCTGGATGCAATTATTTTATTAAATTATCTTGCTCCCTCAACCTTCTGTGAAAACAAAGATCAGGTACAGAACAAAAGAAAAGTGAAATCTTGATCTCCAAGAAATCCAAAGCCTAATTACCATATTGATTAAGCAGGTGACTTTTCTGACTCTAGAAAGGTCAGAATTCCCACACAGTGAGATGGAAATTAAATCATTTGCAGAGCAGCTAACATGTAAAAATCAGTGTCACAATACCCATTTCTCCAGGATATGAAACCTATAAAAATAAACTATGTGTGAATTCTTGGTGTTTCCTAAACCTTGGCCAGGTTTCCAGGAATAACATTCCTCATTTTGAAATCAAGGTCCTGTCTCCTTTCTCCATTCTTCAAGTGTGATAAGCCAAAGGAATCTGACCCATGTACTATTTGCAAATGGCAAACATTTTATCACATCACCGCTCTGACTCCATGCATCCCCAGGCTGTAATGGTTAACATATGTAGATCTCATGGCAAAAACCAATGAGACTTTCCCAAATGCAAATCAACCCTGAACTCCTTAAAAATGAGGGAGGTAGGACTTCAGGGAAAAATCTTGGATTAAATAGTGCTGAGTACAACAGCTATGTGCAACCATGGGCCTGTCTAGCTTTCAAGGCCAAAGTCTAATGGAGACACACTACATAGGTGAGTCCTAAAGTCTATGTGTAGATGCAAATAAAGTTAAGTAGTTATTGAAACTGCTTTTTCTTATCTGAATGAAGTGATAAGTCAGATACAGGTCTGAAGTACAAAAGTTACATTCAAAGGCAGTTTTAAAGTGCTTTACCAAGATACATAACCCTTCTAACATTCACATTTTTTTTTCCACTCGGAAGGGTAGCTCAAGAGGTCTTACGTTGTGTTGAGAATTCGCTATAGGAAAAAAATCAATAACTGGTCTAGCTGTTCTAATCCTTTGCATAGAGATATAGAAAGAAAACATATACATCTAGCTTTCATAATGCCACAGCTCTGACATAAAGCTACTCATTCTCAATGTCATGAGCTTTGTTCTGCTAGTCTAAAAATGAGGTAAATAAAATGGATGCAATTACTTCTTCCTTAGTTTGTCACAGACAGGTTTGGTAATGCAGGATGAAGTTAGTGAGGGGAACAAAGACCGGGGTATCTAGGAAGCTTTTGTTTCTCTCTTATCAGCCTTTAAATAGCCAGGGGTGTTGGTCTTTTCTGGTAGTGGGCTACAGGTGAATCTGCTACCTGCAGCTAGCTAGCTAGCATTTACTTCAAGTAACAAATAGCATCATAGATGATACTCCCACTGGTGAGAAGATCTATCTGGTTGGTAATATGTAAAAAACGAGGAAAGAAACTCCACCACGTTGAGGAAATTAATTTTGCACATGTCATTGTAAAGCTACTTCCCAGATTATGATCTGGAGAAGATGTGGAGAGACAGCAAAGATATGAAAGCTGTAAAGCACAACAAGTCTCAATCACTCAAGGACAGGGCTCCTGACTCATCATTAATTCCAGTTATGTAATTTCTCATGAAAGTGAGAGTATGGTTCCTTGCAATAGCTTTGAAATAAGGCACTACAGTTAAATGTAACTGAAAACTTTTGCAATTGCTTTACACTAAAGTGAGACTAGATTACAGTCCATGAGCACAAAACCTCATTTTACAAACCTCAAGAGAAAGATCTTTTTTTTTCCCACTTTATTCAACAGAACTCCCCCTTGTCAACAACATAAACCTCAGTTATACAAATTTTTTTTAAAAACACCTTAATTCACCTGTCCTAGAATGGCTCTGGCAACACAAAGACAACACTGAACAAGTGCACAAATCATGATTTCAGGGGGGGCAAATATACAAAAAGAAATGCCAAGCCAATTGAAACTTTCAATCCTCCCTGAAAGTGCTCTCCTTAAAGAGAAGCAGAGTCAATGCTGCCACTTAGTGGCCAGCTGAACAAATCAATGATACTGGCCAAGGGGTGTTCAATCTGTTAACTATCACCTGGCATTTCCCCGTCTAACAGACCACCCAACTTCTCATAGTAAAACAGCAACATATCTGAAACACCCTAGCCTCCAAAGCCCATCCAAACAACGGCAACTGGAATATGGCTGGTGTAACAGAGAGACTACTTCAAATAAAACTTTTCCCTGCTCAATTTAAGATCTCCTGTCCCAGTTCTCTGGGCTTGGTGGGGGTGAGATGAGAGACATGGACACATCCACAAGGTCCATCTGTTCAGAGAGTATATACAGTAATCCTGATGTCTGTGCCCTCAAACACCTCTTCAATCATTGCAGACACTTTCTCCCACTGTAGCCGATCGAGACCACAACCAATTCTGGAAGAAACAAAAACATTCTCATTGGATGGAAATGAGGCACTCAGAGAACGTCCCCTGGACACCCTCCTCCCCAGTTTCCATGAAGGTTTTTTGCACAGCAAATAGAGAAAGAAAAAGGTTTCGCTTGGTGGCTAATTTCACACTGATTGGCTTTGTTTCAGGTCAAGAATTATACAGTTCATGCTACCATGAATCACCTAAGGCTAGCCCTGGTCAGCCCCAAAGGCGAATAGTAATTTACAGCTCTTTTCCCAGTAGAACACTGCATCTCAATCTTCCATTTCAAAGCAAACTTTTAGAAAAGTCTAAAATTTTCACAGCACACTCCGGATAATTAAGGGAGGTGAGAAAAAGAGATATTCTCTATATCTTCTAATGAAAACTGCCTGGCAGTGAGGGGAGTGTAAGGCCTCTAAAATAACATTTCCTACAACAATGGATTTCAAACAAAGGTGTAAGAAAAAGGAAAGGAGCATGGACTAGGGGGCAAGGATGTGGAAACTTCAGCCTCGAGGTCACGTGTGGCCCTCTAGATCCTCAAGTGCTGCTCTTTGACCAAACCAAAGACAAATTGCCTTAATAAAAGGATTTGTTTTGTGAAGTTTGGATTCAGTCAAAGGGCCACACTTGAGGACCTAGAGGGCCACACATGGTCTTGAGGCTGTAGGTTCTCCACCCCCAGACAAGGGTCTCTTTAGGTACAAAGCTTATTGGCCTAAAATACAGTAACATCTTTGTGGAAGTCACATTTCTTTGTATAATCTATGCAGGGCACTTGTTCCTGCCTTGAAAACATTACTAGTTCAATTTATACTCAGCCCACAATGTTGTGTAGGGGAAAGAACACTGGGTTTATGGTCAGAAATCTGGGTTCTGGCAGTTGCTGCTCTAAGCCTTAGTCTCATCTATGAAATGAGTAAAATCTTCTATTACCTCCTTCACAAAGCAGTTAAGAGGAAAGCACTCTGCAAAGCTTCAAAGTACTACCAAAATGTTATATTATTATAAGTCAACAGCTTCAGCACAAGTGGCTGGGTAAGTCAGAAAAGGATATTATTCCCTGAGGAGACATATGCATTTGTTTACAAACCATACCCCCTGACACCTTCCTTTCATTTGAAGGCAGGCTTTCTCTACTTTATTGATTCTAATCAACCCTGGAGGCAGGTAGAGACCTGGCATCAATGCCATTCTGCAAAAGGAGAAAAGGGCTAAGGGCTTAATTCAGTCCAGGCCCTTTAGTAACGAGACCAAACTACTAGTAGAAGAAAAAACAAAGAGATAATTACTCTAGTCAGGTTCCCAAGTTAAGAGCAAGGGAAATAAATTGGCACTTCCTAACAGATGGAAAAAATTTAAAGGAAGCGGTATACTAGAATCCTAATGTGACCTCCATAGGCCCTACTTGCTCCATAACAGTTACCAAATCAAAGCTCCAGATGCCAATGAATTACTAAACTGAGATTACAATGGCTTATCTTCTAGTTATTAACTCTGACAGTTCAACTTTCCATATAAAGGGAAGTGATCATTTTACCACTTTTATGCCACATGCTTAACACCTTTGGGGGACCTTGATAGGGCATGGAGAAGTCCAAACATCCCAGATTTGGTTCTTAAGCTCATATAACTTCAGGAGTTGAAGCCTCCAGCCTTAAAATGTTGTGTAAGAAGTTGGTATTTGACTAATAAAACTGAGTAAACTGTTCCACTTTCATCATGTAGTAAGGATAGAGTGATTTTTTCAGCACCATTATGCAGGGACAGGGAATAGACATCTAACTCTGCAGTTTATAGTTTTGAGAGTTGCCTAGTGCACTGAGAAGCTAAGTGACTCGCCTGGTATCTCACAGACAGCATATGTGCCAGAGGTCAGACTTAAACCCAGGCTGTCTTGGCTTTGAGGCCCGCTTCCTTTTCACTAAGTCTCAAAGCTTCTTTAAGTTATCCATTATCATGAACAACACTCTGATTATGTGAATAAGCTGGGATGGAAATGGCTTCCACTTAACCCAAATTTTCACTTCTGATTTGAAGACTGAAAATAAGAAAATCAATATTTAAGCTCATAATTATGTGGAAAACTAGACCATTTACATTATAACAGTGAAGGTAGTACAGTACATTAATGTCCTTTATGCCCCCAAATTAATGAAATTTTAATTCCAAACCCTTGAATTTCTTACCTAGGCATGGAGAGGTCAGTCACCCCATTTTTCAGACAATGGGTTTTCATGGCCTCTAGACTCTTTTGCAAGTTTTCATAAGTTGGCTTGTGAGAAGCCCTCTTCTTTGTAATCTGAGCACAAAGGGAAGATTTAGGCTCTTATTAGACAAAATGACATGGAGTCAAAGATCAATATCATATTATAATCACCAGCAATAAAATGTTGATTTTACCTGAGTCATCTGTCAGGTACAATAGGTCTGTATGATATTCTTCTGAGCTGGTCTTTTTTTATATGTGTGGTTTAAAAAACTTACCAAAATCATTATATGCAAGATTCCATTAACCAGAATGTTAACTTTTCCATTATATCAATTAGAAAATTTCCCCTCTGAAAAGCCCACCAGCAATCATGTTTCTAGTCAACCTTAAAAGCACACTAAGTGGCTAATTTTCTCTTACCAGGTAGTATACATATCTTTCATCTCTCTTTAGCACCGCTACTTCTCCAGATTTTTTTTCTTTGAGGAAAAAAAAACAGGACAAGTATTCAATATAGGAAGAAAAAAGAAAGCCTCAACACTTAAGTTCATTAATATATTAATTATCTTTCTAGAAATGAATTAGAAAAGCTTTCTAACTAAAAATGTGAATGCTAAGTAGAATTCTATTCCTTCCACATTCTGTGAACAAAAATCAAGGTGTTCTCCTAATCTCTTTAACATCCTGTCCTTCCCCCCCTTCTACTGTTATCCACTTTACTCTAGCCCCACACTGTTATCAATTTGCCAATACCTGATTCACACCTTACCCTAATCTTTCACTGTTTACAAATCCAAGTTTCAAAATAACAAGACCAAAAAACCCTAATAAATCTGTCAGTTCAAAAACCTACTATGATGTTTATATTTGTATAATATTTTTCATTTCTCAAAACATTATCCTTTATCAGCCACATTTACTCATTCATTAAACAAGTAACTGCCAAGTATCTACAACAGTCAAGGCACTAAGTACTTTAGACACTATAAAGTGATACAATGATGATATATATATATAAAATCTTCCACCCTCCAGGAGTTTAAATAGACTTGTTATGACTTAGACTTATTATAATAAATAATAAACTAAATAGACTTATTATAATAGATATATTATGGAAACTGGCATGCACATGCCAGAAGTGTAGTTATGCTAAGTTCTACAGAAAAAAATGCTGTAGATCAAGGGACAGAAAGATCACTTTTGGCTAGGAAAGCTTCACAGAAAGGCTGGGATTAGAGCTGGGCCTTGAAAGACAAGGAGGATTTCACCAGGCAAAGGCATGAGGAAGGATGCAGCATCAGAAAAATGCAAGGCATGTTCAATGAACACAAAATAGAGCTCTACTGTCAAATAAGAGTTTTTCCAGGAAAGGAACAGAACATGCAGTTACTGGCCAGCTATGGAGTACAATACACCTAGTTTCAAGTCCTGCTTCTAACACATGCTGGTTACATAGCTACGAACAAGTTTATTTAGCTGCTTAGTATCCCCAAACAATACTCAGAGTATGCAAAGGTAGTGGGGGTAGAGTGTAGAAAGCCTTGAACATATAAATTTTGTATGGTAGGCAACTGGGAACTACTTAAAAGTTGTTGCACGTGCAACTAGTGAAGGAAGAGACTAGAAGATACAATTGAAAAACTATTACAATAGCATAACTAAGGCGGTAGTATTCAAAATAAAGGGATGTATGGGAGTCTGGAGGGCTGTCAATGACTATCTTCTAAGTTCCTAGTGAGGAAGAACATCCTTGTGATCATATTCTGGACGTAGCCTTGCCCATAGTAGTTTAACTAATGTTTCTAGTCAACTGAAACCACAAGGTAAGGCCTAAACTCTATACAAACTCACGTTGATTCAAGAGCTCCTGCACCCCTCCAAACTTCTTTTTGAAGAGAACAGCTATCCCAGCACCCATTCGACAATCCTCACTGATGCAGTGGGCCAATGAGTCTGTTTGGGGGCATGCAAAAAGGTCCCCTTTCACATACACAATCTGCAACACACAAGGAGGGGAAGTGAGAGAAAATGGTTTAACAGATATGCAGAAATGCTTTGCTGTTTCTTTTGGCCACTTTCCCCCCTTCCAGGGAGCAACTTTATTCTTACTGGAATCAAGCATAATCTTTCACAGAGAAAATCCCAAGAGACTAATTCAAAGAGCTGAATGTGAACTGAACCATGAATAAGATGGAAGTGATGATCCTTGCCTAAGACTGCATTAGCCTCTTTGGAGTAAATGAGCTAAGAAAAGATAATTCAGTTATGTTGCTTAATTTAAAACAGTGCTTAATGCCTATGACCTCAATTATTCTAGATTTTTATTTGCCAATAAGTCAACAATTTTTACGCACTCTGTTCTCTCCTGGATCTTCATCAGGGCTGCTGGCCATGATAAGGAGCTGCTATTTCCAAGACTTAACAGTATTTTTTCTGCTAGAAGAATGAAAAAGGAAACCAATTTGCTTCGGGTTAAGCACACACATTCCCTGACCTTGCTCTCTCTGTTTACTACATCTAAACTCTTTCACTATTCTCATCCCGAAGTGGCAAAGAAAAAAAAATCCAATGCAAAAACTGGAGATGCAGCACCAGTTTACCCCGTCCCAGCTCCCCGACAGTACCCTCTGTCCCATTCCCTCTAGCTTGCGGCAAGTTCGGCCCCTCCTTTATTCGACCCCGTTCAAATCCCCTACTCCGAAGGAGGAGCAAGGCCCCTCTTTGGGCTTCAGTTGAGGGGCGTAAAAAAGGCCCCCTCCAGCTCCAATTCTATGCTTCTGGTTCCTCTCCGCAATCACATATGATGGAGGTTTCAGAGGTCTTCTAGGGCTGGTTGCTTAACCTTTTTTTGTTTATGCCAAGGCGCCCCTGGGCAGTCTGGTGAAGTCTCTGGACCCTTTCTCAAAATGTTCCTAAATGCACAGGATTACAAAGCGAACCAAGTATATTGAAATAAAAACGTAATTGGCTTTTTTTTCCCCATCCAAATTCAAAGACCCCCTGAAATTTATCCAGAGACCTCGGGTTAAGAACTTCAGATATAGTCCAATCATTATACATGGAGAGGGAAACGGTAGGCCAGGCCTCGGAAAGAGCTTAAGGTTCTACCAGAGCCGGGCTCGGCCCGGGGACAGGGGGCGGGACAGCTTGACCCCTCCAGTAGGGTTCTTTGCTTTCCTCGGGCCCCCCGCCCTCTTCCCGCGGCTTCCCCTCCCCCCCGGCCCGAGGGGAGGAGTGTGCAGCCTAGCTCCTCCCTGGCTCCCCCTCCGGGGGACCGTGGTGGGAGCCCGACAAAAGCCCTTCATGCTGCGCCCGGCCCAAGCCCAGACAGATGGACTGACGCCCCGCCTCCTCCCCATCTAACCCGGGGGCGCCGCGGGGGAGGGGTGTCTGCGGCCCCAACATACCCGGGGTCCCGGGAACAGGCCAGCTGCCGGGAAACCCAGGCCTCGGCCCCAGAAGGCAGCTGCTTCCGATTGAGCCCGGGTGCTCGTGACCGAGCCAAATCAAACTCGCGGCTGCCCCCACAGGGACCCAAAATGGCCTCCCACGATCCGCCGGGGGAGCGGAAACGGGGCACCTCTAGCCAAACCGGAGGGAAGGGCTGCGCTCTATGGTGGCGCCCCTTCGAGAACTTCCGGCGAGAGATTTCTCCCGCCGCCAGGCTAAGCATGCGTAATGCGAAGAATGGGAACATGCGCGGGACGAATAGGCGCTTACGCGCCAAGCACGGGGGTGTGTTTTCAAAGATCTGTGGCGGACATTGGGGGAGACGACGGAAAGGGCCGGTGAACGCTTGCGCAGTAGCATCTCCAAGGTGGCGTTTGAGTTGAAAGGGTGGGTCAACATGGCCTGGAAGAGCCTTCGCGTTCTTCCGGAAGTTGGGGGGTGGGGCCTGGGCTGGGTCTCGGCGACGCGTGCGCCGTACGCACCCAGCACGGGGTGGGGAGAGCCCGCAGGTGGGGAGGGGAGTGGGGGCGGGGAGGGGGGCGTGGCTTACAGGCGCCTGCGCCGAGGCGGTTGGAGGGGGGGCCCGGGGCTCCTTTGTTCGCGTTCGCCATTTTGCCAGGCAGCGGCAGTGGCGGCGGCAGCGGCGGCTGGAGCCTCTGATTGGGTTTCGGGGTCCGGTACTGGAGCCAATCAGCGCGGGCAGCGAACCGGGGGAGCGAGGCACGGTGAGTGTGAGGAGCCAATATCCAGCGGCCCAGAGCCGGCCCCAGCGCCCCGATTGGCGGGTCTCGCTGACCACTCAGGAGAGGCCCAGGCGCCCGCCGAGCCCGGGGAGCCGGGCAGGTGGCGGCAGCGGCGGCGGCAGCAGCGGAGCCTGCGGGGCGGGCCTGCCTGGAACCGGGCCTTGGCGTGGTGTGGCTGTACCAGGGACCTCCCGCCACTCCCGGCCTAGGCCTGCAGGGGGCCGCCCCGCCGGTGTGGGGATGGCAGGGGCCTCTTCGGGCGCGGCGCCTTGACCCAGGGGTCCCGACGCCCCAGATGGGGCCCGGACCCCCAGTTCGGCCACGGCTCTTGGCGCTACCTTCAACCTCCCTGGGACCCGGGCACCACCTCCTTGGGCCCACAGATTGCAGGGGATGTGGAGGACGGGTCCCCAGTTAATGCCACCCCTCCAGACCCTTGCCGACCTTACTGACCACCCAGCACCCCTTGCTCCCCTCCGTGGTCTCTGTCTGGACGTGCCCTTTGTACGTTTGTGTGTATGTGTACACGCACTCACACTCATTCGTACCCCTCTCCACCCTACTTAATCATCTGGACCCTAAAACCCCGCCTGCTCCGTCTTCTGCCCCCACCCCATCCTCTGCTTAGACCCTTGGCCAGTCCCCCTTTCACAACCCAGGACGGGTACAAAAGACCCCTGCCGTGGTCTCCCCTCCCCCCACACTCTCCCTCTTGGTTCCTTTACTGTCTGACTTCCCTTGTCCGCCTGGTTCCTGGATCCGGGAGGCTCGTGGCCTCCCCTCCACTTCTCCCACCCCCCACTCCCCTGGCCTGACCATGCCCCTCCTTCCAGCCAACATTCCCTGTGTCTCCTGTCCCGTTACCGTTACCACCCCCTTTTGGCTCGTCATTTCCTCTTCTCTCGTTGCTGGGGCAGAACAGCAGCCCCCTCCAGACGTGGTGCCAAACCAAGCTGCCTCCTTTTCCCAGGCTGCATGTCTGTTTGGCTCCTGGAAGCTCCCTGTACCAATTTGTTCTCCTCTCGAAAGACTGACTGCAGGAGCTCTTTCTCTAATCTTGAATATTTTCTTATACCCAGAAAACATGGAGTTAATTTTCCCCTATCACCATCTTCTTTCTTACCTGATTTATGGCAGCCAGGACCTCAGGCTCCTTCTCTTGATTTATTTTTCTCCTATTGTATATAGTGTATAGTTAGGTTCCTATTTATGAAATATTTTGCATTTTAAGTCTGTTTTTAAAAAAATATTTTTATGTGTTTGTCTTCATGTTAGGACCAAGCTTCTTTTTCTTAAAAAAAAATGAGTCTTTTTCAACTTTAAATCCTATGGTTCTGGCTGCAGTAAAGTTTTAGCAAGTGGTGACTTCTCAGTAGAGTTGTATAGTACTTGGATTCCAGTGAAATGTATGTATATGTGTGTGTGTGTCACAAGATTAAGTCGAGTTTAGAAGTACTTAATTAAATACCTAGTAAGTGCTAAGCACTGTGTTAGGAATGCCCCCTAAGACAAGAACAGTCCCTTCAAGGAATTTAAAATCTAATGAGGACAACTTGCAAACAATTACTTACAAACAAGATGTACATTGGATAAATTGGAGACAATCTTGGGTAGGCACTGGCATTAACCAAGACTCGGAAAGGCATTTTGCAGAAAGTAGAATTTTAGCTGAAACTTGAAAGAACCTTGGAGGCAGAGATGAGAAAGGTGAGAATTCCAGGTATGGAGACAGATAAAATGAAGAGTTGGGAAATAAGAGTGTCATATTAGAGGAATAGCAAGGGGGCCATTGTCACTTAATGGAAATACTGAGAAGGGAGGAAAGTAAAAGAAGACTGGCAAGGTAGGAAGATTATGAAGAGCTTTAAAAGCCAAACAGGATTTTTTTATTTGTTGGGGGTAATATGGGTCCATTGGAATTTATTAAATGAAGAAAGGGTTGACATAGAGCTGGGTAGAAAAATCACTCAACTTTCTGAGAGGTTCTGCTTATTGTTACTAGTTTCTTTTGTACATAAAAGGAGATTTTTGTCCCAACTCTTTTTCTTGGTTCTGTTAAGTAACAAACCCACAAAGAACATTGTCCCCCTCTGCTTTGCTTCTTAGAATTCAGTTTTCTTTGATAAAAGTAGTAGTGAGTTCTTAGTTACACACATTACCGAATAGAGTTCGAGATGGCATGGATAATTAAAAAATAACATTTGCCTTTGGAATATGTTTTTGTATGTCTTTTTAAAGAAGTATCTCATGTTTTTAAATTCTCTTCACAAAACTAAAAGCTACACTGGAAAATCCAACATAGGGAAGCTCTTCAAGCTCGGTCTTTCTGCTCTCTGCTGGAGAGTGCACATGTATTTTATCCATGTGAGTGTGCACTGAAATTTGGGATACTTAAAAGTTTCATTCTTAGAATTGTGCCCCGAAAATGCATGTTGTGTTCACTGGAGGATCTCTGAGTTTTGGGCTTTGCAATTTTTATGGGATACTTTAGGAAAATAGTTTTTTTACAAAAACTTTATTTTCGTGTGTGAATTTAAGACTTAGATTTTACGTTAATCATAGGGTGGGATAAGAGCCAGAAAGGCATACTGTGTTCTGTCAAAGTTGACCACTCAGTGTAGAAGAAGGATATTTTTGAGGCAAAACTGTGTTAAATAAAATTGTCATTTGGCCAACTGAAGGTAAGAATAGTAAAGTTGAATTTTGCTTTATTGAACATCAGGGTCACATGCAATTGAGCTCTTCAAAGGCGTCTGGAGAAGTGTATAGAACATGCCTGGACTTGGAGTGGGTAACCTTTAGATATGTCTCCTGAGACTGTATATATGGTCTGGCTGGCTATATAACCCTGAACCTCAATTTCTTCATATGTAAAATGGGAAACGATAGCACCTACCTCCGACAGGGTTATAAGGATCAAATGAGCTATACGTATATGCGTATGCATGTATGTATGTATGTACGTACATACATGTGTCTGTAATGTGAGTTGTAGTTATTTCATATATGCAATTTCTGTAGAAGGGGTAAGGACTAGGTTTCTACATTGGGAGGGAAAAGCTGCCCAGGGCTGACTTTCAACTCTTTGTCTTGTATTCCAGTTTATTCTTTCACATTAACCAACATGTATTGACTTTCAGGGAAGATTAGAAATAAAAATTCTGGAATTGTGAAATCATGGGGGAAAAGTTTACTTGGGGAAAGTGTAGAGGAGTTTGAGAATTTAAAAGAAATCAAAGATACATTCAGCATTTAAATGCATTTCCTTCTATTCACTGAATCCTATGCAAACTCCAGAATCCTCTAGATTATGATTAGGTAGTCCTTTCCTACTTAAAAACCTTTAATGGCTATTTGAATAATATTGAATTTGATCTCAGACCTATATAATCTACCCGCTTGATTAAAATCATGTATATGTAATGTAGCACTGAATGAAGACAGGCCTTACAAATGTGCCACCTGCCTTGAAATTATTTTAAAAACTGTTGTAGAAATATACGCTTATTGTAATTACAATCTGACTGTATACTAATTTAGCCTTGTAATTTTAGTGCTAAATTATATGAATTAATCATATATTATTATAGTGATCTATATATCTGTTGACTGTAATCCTGTAGTAACATTTCTTTCTTAACTTTTCTAATAGGAGCACACTCTTAGCCATATCTCAAGATATCCAGCGGGAGATTGTCACATACGGAATTGCAACCTAGATGAGACATGGAGCAGTATACAGCAAACAGCAATAGTTCTACGGAACAGATTGTCGTGCAGGCTGGACAGATTCAGCAGCAGGTATGAAAATGATTCAACTTTGACAACTAAAGTAACAGAATTGGCTATAATATTAAGAGGGACTGCTATAATACCACTGAAAAATTATCATGTTCTGGGTTTGGTGAGATGCAAAGGTCTAGAAATTTGCCTGGTAATATTTCATTATATTTGGACTCAATATCTCAAATTGTGCATTCAGGTTTCTTTGCAACTTGTATTCTATCCACAGCCCACTGGAATTGTTTCTTCATGTTGCCTGAACAGCCTGCCTTCTTTATTAATTAACCTAGGTTTCCTGACAAATTATTGAAGTTCAAAATGTCAGGCTACTTTCATGTTGAACTTTGGAATTGTTGAGTTTGTCTTCATGTGAATATGTTGAACTGATTCTGTTCTGTTTCTTTTCCTGATGGAATTGATGTATGGACACCTTGGCTTTCTATAATAGATGAAAACAAGACACTTTGATTCAAGTAGATCTGCTTTGAACTGGTCCACAAGATGATTATTTTGGAAAGTTAATATCTAGTTCAGCATTAGGATATTTAGACAGCTGCACTTGCAAATATAATGCGTTGGAAAAGAATTAAGAGCTGCTGGTTTTTAAATTAATCCCAAATCCAGGAACGGTATTGTTGTGAAATGTATGTAGATGACATTTTTTGCTGTTTCTTGCTTAGTTTTATTTTAGGATAAACCTCTACTTTTTTTCCAAGTAAGAGACATTATTCATTGTACCTCAGTGTGACTTCAGATACAATTGCTGATCAGGTATAAATGAAAAGGGAATTAACTTTTTGTTGGTTTTGGCATTGTTTCCAAACTTTAACATATTGTACTTAGAAAATTGAAGTTTCCAGAGGGTATAACAGAAAGTTGTTCTTGATGAGTGGCTAAAGGATGAAGTCAATTTGAATCAAAATGACTTCAGTTCACTGAGATCACCCTTTCCAAATGAGCAGTTTCCACAAAAGCTTCACCATCTAGTTAGTATGCTAATTGATGTGAAAAAATTTTTTTGTCAGAAATAATCATTAAAATAGACACAGCTATGTGAAAACCGTTAGATTCATTTACTACTTTGTTGCCTCTAAGGTAGTTGAGTTGAATAGAAATAGTTTTAGGTTATAAAAGTTGTGAATTTGTAAAGATGCTTAGTCTTTAATAATTTGTCCCCATTGCATCATAGATATTTTTAAGGTTCTTGAGAGCAAAGGTCTAGTCCAGGCCTGCACAGCCTGCAGCCTGTGCAGACTGCTTATGTCCCACCAAAGAATTTTGGGTGGGCCACAAAAAATGTAGAGGATGTTTTTCTCTACATTTTTCGTAGGCTGCCTGAAATTCTTTGGTGTGCCCACAAGCTGCTGTGGGCCACAGGTTGTGCAGGCCTGGTCTAGTCTTGTGTTTATATCCTTCTCTGTCTAAAATAGTGCTTTGCATGTAGTAGGCACTCATTATATGACTTGAACTGGTTGTATTCAAATGCTGTGAAATTCATCAAATGTACCTTTTTCTTTTGAAAATGTAGCTGCAGTTCCAATAACTTTGCTATCTAAATGCAGTTGAATAACAAATGAGTGCTATAATATAAAGGAGCCCTGTAATGCTTCCATAAGCAAATGAATTGAAATTGCCTGTTTCTGAAAGCTACCTTACAGTTTGGTTTTAAACATGATGATATGGCATCTAATATGACCATGGCATATTAAAGAACAGAGTCTTGAGTCTCAGTAAAAGGACAGATGCTTATCCTCCCCATCATTGTTCCAGTTGATGACAGTAGCAACTCGGTCTGTTCTTTCAGTCTGAGTCCAGGAAAGGGGGCTTTTGAGGAAAGAATCTCTCGGTCCCTCCAGGAGGTAAGGTGATCTCTTGTCTTGAGCTGTGCATTTCCTTGTCAAGTTTCAAGCTATTCCTGTTCCTGTTCCCAGCAGCAGGGTGGTGTCACTGCTGTCCAGTTGCAGACAGAGGCCCAGGTGGCATCCGCCTCAGGCCAGCAAGTCCAGACACTCCAGGTAGTGGTGATTTCTCTAATTGTATCTATGTGAGCACTGCATGAACTTCCCTTCTACTTCATGTCTGATGCTGTTTTGTCAGGGTTTGAAATGGGAATGTTAAAGTGAGTGGCATATGATTCTCTCCTCTATTTGATGCTGCCAGTTTTCATTTGAGACCCATAAAAATTCCTGCTCAGTTTCTTAATGTTTCCTAGAAAGCATGCAGGAAACTGTTGTCATCCAGTTCTGAAATCATATGTATCTCTAGTTTTGGAATTAATAGAAAGTAAATGATTGAATAGGTAACTAGAAGCAATTCTCAGCAGTAGGAATTTTAAATTAACCTAGAAATTTAATTAGGAGTTTGATCTTTACTCATGTAACTGAATGTCAATAATTTGAGATAAAAGGAAACAAGAAAAAAATGAATAAGGCTTGGATTAGCCATTTTTTAATTAATGAACTAAATGGCTAGAAAATAGGAAGCTTAATATTATGTATTATTTTGAATAAATTAGTGTAGTAGTGGGCTGACAGTATAATGTATTCTCATAGAAGGAAGTACATTATTAGATGTCCCGAAGTAGGCAATAGAAAAGCTAAGTTGATTAAAGAATTATCATTGATAAAGTGCAGGATAAGGCACTTCGTCAATAGAAAGCTTCAGAAATTAGCATATTGGATAGTCCCCTGGAATAGATCTTTATATGGTTAAATTAAACAGTTTTTTCTGTGCTAGAAACTCTACTGGAACATCCCATGAATAGATATTGGTGAAATACAAATAAGCTCATCAAATTTATATGTACAAACCATTACCGTTTCCTGACCTGAGATTGAGAATTACTCTACTGTTGGTTTTGGAGGGAGGTTCCTTCCCTTTTAGGGACCAAGGCCAGAAGTCCCCTTTGTGAGTTTTAGTAGGCAGTACTTTAGGGCTACTTAAATCAATTAGCCAACCAGTATTCTCCATAGTGTGCTAGATAAGTTGGTAAAAGAAGAGCCTTGGCTTTTGCTCAGAAAAGCGGAATTCTAATTCTATATCTAAAACTTTGGGATTAGATAGTGTAATAATCTGTGAACCTGAAGATAGTATTTCCTTAACTTACCTAATTGAACAGTTAGGACAGAAGGTAAGTCATTGCAAACCCTTATTTGTGCGGCCTGTTTCATTTGTTCCACATAGATTGGAAATTCTTCAAAGCAAAAGCTAGGGTACAAGGCTCAGATCTTTACTGCTTAGTGTTGTGAACTGCATGGCTCCTTACTGGACTGGTACTGGTTTCCTTTTCATGCCAGTTTGTCAGAAAAGAATAGTTGTGGGATAATGAATTATGCAAATTTCTGAATATTACATCCTGGAAGAAGTTGATCTTATATATGGTTACCCTAATGGTATCTGTCCTAGGGTTCAGTGGCTCATCCATCTTTTACGCTTTCTTTGTTTTAGTTTTAATATATAAATGCAGACAGTTCTTGCTTTAAGTAAATGGACTGTTCCTCAGACCTATGTAAAGCAATTTTTACATAATATGAATTTGCCTCCAGATGTGAGGGGGGGAGACAGAAAGGAAGAAGGCATGCACTGGTCTGGTTCAACGACAGAGGCCAGAACAGAGAAATGAGAACAGAAGGAGGAACATACAGGGGGCTGGGCCAGCCATGAGGTGGCTAGACATAGACATAAACGCCATACCCAAACACAGAAGACAAACACACTGGGGAGGGTGCTGCAAAGGTCTCTTTTGCCAAGCTCTCAAGCCAACTCCCCAACGGTCTCTCCAAATGTCCTTTCTTCTGCTTTCACTTGGAGGTTTGGGTGTTTTTATGGGGGGTGGGATGGGGTGGGAGGCCTCAGAGTGTTGGAGCAGAGAGAGAGCACAGTACTGTACAGTAAAGTTAACATAGGTGTGTTGGAATGCAGATTTCTTTCAGAATTCATAAAATTGAATTTGTGTAATGCCAATTTACACAAAGCCAGAACTGTCTGTAAGTATTGCAGATTGTCATTAACTGCCTGTGGAATGGGAACATAATAACATACTGCTTAACTGTTACTGCTTGTCTTGTGCATGTACTTTTTAACTGTTCACATATCAAAGACTTCTCCTTAGGGTTCATTTTTGAGTGCATATAAGTGGTGATCTGGAGAATTATTGAGAGGTGATGGATAGCCAGATAAATAGGAGTGCCATACTTAAAGCTTATCTTAAGTACTTTCAGGCTTTTTTAAACTAAAGGAAGCTCTTGATGGAAATAAGTGGCATCCCTTTTTATCTAGGGATCTCATTATTTTAGAGGATTGTTAATTGCTTTTTTAGGTATTTATGCAATAAATATTCTGAAAACCTATCCATGTATCAAATATTACATGGACTGTGTGTCTCAAAAGGAATCCACTTTGGAGTGAGAAGGAAGAGGAAACAGGTATACAAGAATATGATAGTAGAATTTGTAGATGATAAATATGGAATTCTTCCAAGGGACAGAATTAATAAGCCTAGAATTTGAAATGTCTTCATAATGTTCTTTTACTCTCACCTGTTTTTATAGTGGAGAAAATAATTCCTAACTTTGTAGTCTCTGAAAGTACAAATTGACCCATTATCAGCATATTTTGGTCAGCTACTAATTTTTTTTTTAATCAGGGAATAATTTTAGTGGCTTAAAGTGTAAAGTTCTTTTGTGAAAGAGTTTCCTTTATTGGTTTGGAAGAACTCCTATCCCAAAGTTATGATGGAACCTGAGAACAGAAGGTCCAAACTAGGCTTGTGGCCCTTGAGCATTCTTATTTCACTGAAGTGTTTTGCACTGTGGTTTCCAGAAGGAGTTCTGGGAAAAGAACATTTCATTTTAAGAATCAAGATGTTACATCCCACTTGTAGCTTCCAGGCTTACAATGAGTTCCTCTTGAAAAGTAGGAATTCTATTCATATCAGCTGCATTTATATAATTTCCACATTCCTCATTCTACTGAAATTAAAATCAACATGGTGGTATTAAGGAACATTTAAGGGGATCCAAACATCTCATGTTGGTTGGAACAGCACATGTAGTGCATCCATTTAAGATCAATCTATAATTTAAGGCAGTAAGCATTAAATGATGAAAATGACTCAGAATCCTCAAGGTGAGTTTGGAAGAGTGAATCAGAGTTGAAAGAAAATGAAGAGAGGAGTTACTTTTAAAGACACCAAATGAAGGTGCTTTCCACACAGGCACTTTGTATTTTTTATACTCCTCCCCCTCCCTCTCTCTTTCTCTCTCTCTCCCCCCTCTCCCCCCATTACCTGGAGTCCTCACTCTCCCCCTTGATAAATGCCATTCCTGGAAATTGGTCTGCTGGCAAGCAACCAAGTTTTCTTATCAGCAACTATTCCATGCATGTTGATAAAAATCTTGGTTTTTTGTAAATTTATTGAAACTTCAAAAGATTATACTTGTGTTCTATTTTAACTTTAAGCTGCCTTGACATTTAGTCACATATACCTTACACTGAAAATCGTTGATAGAAGGCCTCATACACTCATTTTTCTTCACCCCAATTCCCAGCACATTTTTGTCCTGAGTGACAAAAAAGTTAGTAGGTAGTCCTGATGCCTGGCTTATAGTTAAATTCTTTCTCTGTGTAGCTTTATTTCATTGTTCTTATTCTGTTGATCTCTAGGTCCAGGGCCAGCCTTTGATGGTACAAGTGAGTGGTGGTCAACTAATCACGTCAGCTGGCCAGCCCATTATGGTCCAGGCTGTCCCTGGTGGCCAAGGTCAGACCATCATGCAAGTACCTGTGTCTGGGACACAAGGATTGCAGCAAGTAAGCTTCTTCATGTCATTGTGTGGAATTCATTACGATGTAAATTGATGTTATAATTTTTCTTAATTTCATATATATATATATATTTTTTTATTTTTTGTCTTGCCTCAGCCTAACACAGTGCACTTGACATTTAATAAGTGTTTGTTTAACTTGTTCTTCAGATTAATTGAATGCACATTGCCACAAATCATTTGTTGATTAATTTCACCGAACTTTTACCAGGTTTCTGCTTGCTACTGTGTGCTAGATCTTGGAGATAAAAAGATGAAGCAGTTCTTACCCTTAAGAAGTTTATATTTTATTAGGAGAGTACAACATGAACACAAAAAAAAAATAGAATACAAATAACGAGAGGAGTTGGGGGTTGGCGGTGGCATCAGGGAGTCTTCATGGAAGAGGTGGTACCTGAATTGTGGCATAAAAGAAGACAAAGTTTTTGAGGGGTTGAGATGAAGAGGGAATCCATTCTAGTCATGAGTAATGGATTGAGTGAATACATAGAGAATAGAATATGTATTAAATCAGGAGAATGTCTAGTGTTCCAGCTCTTCTAGAACATAAAGTTTGTATAAGGAACTAATATAAAACAAGGCTGGAAAGATAGGTGGAAGCCATAGTATTGAAGGCCTCAGATACCAAGCGAAGGGGTCCGTATTTTATATTAAAGGCATTGAAGAGCTACTGAAGATTTCTGAGTAGAAGGGTGATATAGTCATAGTTGTGCCTTAGGAAGATGGTTGCTGCAACTGTAAACAATGGATTGACTGAGAGGAGAACCTGGAATCAGGGAAATCCATTGGGAGTCTGTTATAATAGTTTGGGTTGGAGGTGATGAGGACCTACCTGTATTAGTCTGGTGGTTCTGTGAATGGAGTGGAGGACCAATGTGTGAGTGTTGTGGGAGATGAATTGACAGGATTTGACAACTGATTGGATGTGGTGGGGAGGAAAAGAATCAATGATAGTTTTGGGGTTATGAATGTAGGTAACAGTTCTAATTGTACTAAATGATTTTAATAGTCCCTAATTCCCCATACCCATCTGGTTTTTCTTATTAGAAACTGAAATAGAATCATTCTAATGTTGGATATATAGGATAAGGAATAGGATTTTAGAAACTTGCTTTAATCAATAAAGACAGGAGTGAGGTGGACCTTTGTCCGAAGGAATTTGTGTAAATTTAAGCAGTACTATTGAAATAATTGAAAAATATTTGTTAAATGTGTTGTGTTTTGTTGTTGTTCAGTCATTTTTCAATTGTGTCTGACTCTGTGGCCCCATTTGGGGTTTTCTTGGTAAAGATTCTGGAGTGGTTTGCCATTCCTTCTCCAGCTCATTTTATAGATGAGGAACTAAGGCAAACAGGGTGAAGTGACTTGCCCAGGGTTACACAAGCTTGTAAGTATCTAAAGCCAGATTTGAACTCAAGAAGATGAGTCTTCCTGACTTCAGGCCCAGCACTCATGCCACCAGCTACCTTGGTTAAGTGCTTACTGTATACCAAATCATATACTAAACACTAGGATACCAATTCAGAAGTGAGATGGTTTCTACCCTAAATAATATAAAGGGAGAGAGAACACATAAAGGGGAGTGAAAATGAGGGGGAGGGGTATTTTGATCTGGGGAGTCACAGGGGTGTTGGTAAAATCATACAAGAATATATACAGCCTTTCCAGAAGCAGTGGCAATACGTTACTTTGTTGTGTGTGTGGTAGCAAAGAATGGGAAATTGAGGGACTGCCTGGCAATTGGGGAATGGCTAAACGAATTTATGTTACATACTTATGATGGAATACTGTTGTGCTATAAGAAATAGTGAGGGGGGTATTGTTTCAGGAAAATCTGGGAAGACAATATGAACTGATGCAAAGCAAAGGGTGCAGAACCAGGAGAACATTGTTCACAATAACTACAATATTGTAATGATGATCAGCTGTGAAAGACTTTACTACTTTGATCAAAATAATGATCTGTGACAATTCCAAAGGACTCAGAATAAAAACTGTCCACCTTGAGAGAGAAAACTGATAAATTCTGAGTGCAGATTGATGCACATTTTTACACTTTATTTTTCTTTTTTGGCAACGTGACCAATATGGAAATGTGTTTTGCATGACTTCATATGTATAATGAGCATCATATTGCTTGCCTTCTCAATGTGGAGGGGAGGGGAAAGAATTTGGAATTCGAAATTTTAAAAATTAATGTTAAAAATTTTATAGTTCTTCCCTTTTTTTCTTGTTTAAGAATGATAAACTCTTCCATCTGTAAGATACCTTGAGATGGCTATTTATTTCTTCCCCATGCCTCTCAGAAAGGGATTTATATTTACTGTCTTTGAAAGATAATTACTTCCTGTGTTCTCAGTATTCTAGAAGAGGTCCTACAGCTTAGCTCAGAAATTTGTTCTAGTGTTTTCTTAGCCACTGTAGTTGGCTTTTCTTTAGTATGTGTCCCTTCCAGCTCTATAGATCCTATGAAATCCATCCTACTTCAGGAGCTTTCCATTCCTTCTTGAACTAAAGTGAAATAATTTATAAGTCATTCTTGATTCACAGTGATGAGGAGGATAAAGATAATGCCATTCCTTCCTTTCTTACTGTGTGCCATTTTTTTGAAGTATAAATTGAGACAAAGTAGCATTAGAAAATCAAATGAGGAAAGTTTCAAGATGAGATAATTTTCTTTCTTTATCTTTTTAACTTCTATAGATCCAGTTGGTACAGCCAGGACAGATTCAGATTCAAGGGGGTCAGGCTGTGCAGGTGCAGGGTCAGCAAGGCCAAACCCAGCAGATCATCATTCAGCAGCCCCAGACTGCCGTCACTGCTGGCCAGACCCAGGTAACTGCTGTCTCCTAGAATGCAATAAGATGGTTAATTTGGAAGTATTAAGATGCTAAGCCAAAACATTTCATATATATTAGAGATGGGAAGTTAATGGCTGCAAAAGATGAAGAAGTTAAATAACAGATCTAAACCTCATCTTTATTTTTAAGGTAAAAGTGAAACTAAAAAATCTGAAAACTTGAAACAAGTATGTAATAGAAGGAATGAGAGTTCTCCAACTTCTATTTCTGTCTTGGCCACATTTACCCTTTTTTGTGATAGTTCAGTTCTTTACCCTTGTAAGGAACCTCTTTCTTTCTCTTACAGTTGCTTTTTTGGATTAAACTAATCCCTTTTCAATAAAATGCTTATGAAATGTATGTGGACCTATGTGACATCCTGTTTTTACTCTGAACATACTTTTAGGAGGATATATATTGCCTGTTGATAGTATTTATCCTTGGCTCCTTGCAGACTCAGCAGCAGATAGCTGTCCAAGGGCAGCAAGTGGCACAGACAGCGGAAGGTCAGACCATTGTCTATCAACCAGTCAATGCAGATGGCACTATCCTCCAGCAAGGTATGGGCAATATATGTGCCTACATGTCACTGTTTCTCTCAGGTATATCGTATTTCTCTTGGGTGGTTGGCATAATCTTGAAGAAGGGGCATCTAGCTTCCCATAAATAGTACTTTTCATTCTTTCATATATTCCTCTTAGTCTCAGATTTGAGTAGTTGCTATAGTTTTCCTTTACCAAAATATGGTGATCACTTTTTCCAAATGAGAAGAGGTTTTCCCCACAAGAAACTTATAAAACCTTGGTCTCAGGAGTCTTGCTGATTCAGACTTTGAAAGCTCTTTGAGAGCAAATGTGGAAATGTTTCTATACATTGGAGTTTAAATATTGAAGATGGTCAGGGTTTTAAAAGTGGAAGCTTTGGGGTATTAGGAGAGAGAAGGTTGTGGTGGGGAAGGATTGATTTAGCTTCTGGAAGTATAGCATTTGTAGTCTTGTTGCTAGTATAATTGATCCAAGGACACTTTGTCATCTGTTCAAGGAACTGGGAATCTGATTTTTCATTTACATTTTGCAGCTGACTTCTTGTGACCTTGGGCTGTGAATGGCTGGGTCTCCAGTTCACTGCCAGTGAAAAGCGTTGAATGCTTATTTTAAAGGGAAATCCACTACTTTGGATGCAGAGTGGAACTATTACCTCCCTTGATGTGAAGTTAATGTTTCTTTTAATATAATCTAAGATTGGCAACACGGTGTAGGAGATTAATGGGTGATCTTGGAGTCAAGCACATTCTTGCTCTTTGAAGACCCCAGGCAAATAACTTAACCTTTCAATCTCCTCAGGCAACTCTCTAATATTGTAAGTTGTAGAACAGGTGTTATTGGAGAAAGAATTTCCTCTACCAGTGAATTCACAGTTCTGGTCCAACAACCAGAAAGATGGGACTTGCAGGGCAATCACAGCATATTGTTGAATGTTTAGTCTCAGTGCAAGTCAATAGTATGTTTCAGTCATGTCTAACTCTCTTGTCTAACTAACATGATCCTATTTTGGGGTCTTCTTGGCAAAGATACTGGAGTGGTTTGCCATTTCTTTTTCCAGCTCATTTTATAGATCAGGAACTGAGGTGAACAGGGATAAGTGACTTACCCAGGGTCACACAGCTTGTAAGTGTCTGAGGCTAGATTTAACTCATATCCTCCTGACTCCAGTCCCAGTGTTCTATCCACTGTGCCACCTAGCTGCCTTCAGTAGTACAATATGACTTTCAGTTCAACAGACATTCTTATTAGGTTTGAGATGTATAAAAACCAAATGCAATTAGGCTGCATTAAATAAAAGTGTCCTGTCCTCAATGGCAGTAGTCCTACTCTACATGGCATGGGGCAAACCACATCTGAAGTCTCATCCAGTTCTAGGCACCTAATATTAAGGGTGTTTAGGTAGAATTGACAAATAGTCTAGAAGAAAGTGACCAGGAATTGTAGAAATTCTGATATCACATCGTCTAAGGAAGTATTGGCTGAATTGAATTTTGAACTGAATATTTAACCTGGAGAAAAGTCTTTAGGGAAGGAATATGCTGTTTTCAGATATTTGAAAGGCTGTCACATAGAAGAGGGAACTACTACTCCTCTTGGTCACTTCAGTGGTTAGATTTGGGACCAATAGGTAGAAGTTACAGGGTAGGTGGATTTCAGCTCACTGTAAAGAACTTTCTATTAGCACCCAGAAGTAGAATGGGTTACTTTGTGAAGTAGTGAGCTTCTCAGCACTGAATGTGTTTCATACAAAACCAGAATATTTTAGAGATAAGGTTCCTGCATTGGGTAGAAAGCCGAACTGGATAACCTCTCAGGGCCTTTTCAACTGTAGTATTCTATAATTTAAAAATACTTAATGTGAATACTCTGACCTAGATCCTTTGGTTTCTGGTCAGTACTAGAACCATATAAAAATACAGTTTGTTACAAAGGCACTTTTATTGACAGTCTGAGTGAAACAACTTAATTATGCTGACTTTGGTGCAGCATGTAAAGGTTTGCAAAGACTATACACACACGCGCGCACGCACACACACACACACACACAAAATCTCACTGATCCTGAGATCTTGAATAAAATTTATACATATGGTTATAGTCAGGCCAACTTGTGGAGGGGATTCTACAGATGCAGATCCTTTAAAAAACAAAAAATTCCTACCTTCCAATATGGGATAAGTAAATCAGTTCTTAATAGAAAGATGGAAAAGTGACTGCCTCTGTTTTTTCCTACTCTGTAGCTACCTGGGTCAGTGAGTATGTGCTCAATAGAAGAAAGACTAACTTCCCTTGTTTATTTGTGCTTTTTACAAATGTTTTATTTTCTTAAAGTTACAGTCCCTGTTTCCGGCATGATCACCATCCCAGCAGCCAGTTTGGCAGGAGCACAGATTGTCCAGACAGGAGCCAATACCAATACAACTAGCAGTGGACAGGGGACTGTTACTGTGACACTACCGGTTGCTGGGAATGTGGTCAATTCAGGAGGAATGGTCATGGTGAGTAATGGATCCTGTTGCTTCCTTTTCTCTAGAGATTTTAGTACTCAGTTTACTCTTCTATAAAATGAGGGCATTAGGCCACATCGTCCCTAAGGTACTGCCTGGGTTTATAATTCTGTGGCAATAATTACAATAGAAAGAGCATTGGCTCTGGAGTCAGAGGACCTGGATTCAGTCCCATATCTGATAGCACCTGTATGACCTTGGGTAAATCATCTAATCTTCCTGGACCTCAGTTTCCTGATCTGTAAAATGAAGAATTTGGACAAGGTACTCTCTCAGATTCTTTCCAGCTCGATTTTACAATGATGCTGTGACACAATACGGACTTTTTCTTTGATGATTCCTTAAGATCTCAGTTTATGCCTTCCAGAGCTAATTTCATTTACAAAAGCTGTATAATACAACTCTAGCCTTTGTTTTTTTACAGAGATCCTATAAAAACCTATGTAAGACTTTTTTATACACATGAATTATGAAGGTCTATAATACTTTTAAATTAAGGATTTGATTTTGAAGTGAAATTCTTACAGGTGGAGCCTTCACTAATAAAGAAATGTGTGTGTGTTGGGGTGGGGAGGATCCCATTCTGTGCCTCCACTCATGCTGCCCTTCTCCTTCCCCCTGCCCTTCATTGCAGGTATTCACCAAGCATTTATTAAGCCCCTACTATGTGCAAGGCTCCGTGCCAAGCACTGGGGACACAAAGATGAAAACAAAACATTGCCTGCTGGCAAGGAGCTTACATTCTGTTAGTAGGTGAGAATCTGTATGTTAGTAAATAATTTAGAGTGATTAATCATTTTAACAAAGGATTTTTTGAGTTATTGAAGAGTTTTGCTAAGGAAGCCCCTTAAAAACAGCAAAATAGTTTATATTTTTAATTAATTTATAAAACATATCATTTACATAAAACTTTATCAGGGAGGGACATTTTAGGTAAACTGCATAATATTTACCAACAATGAGATGCTTTCAGAGATTAGGGGAAAATGTTCAATCCCACAAGGATTGTGGGTTCAGTACTTTATACATAAACAAGTTAACTCATAACAAAGTAAAGACTAGAATTTTGCAGTTTCTGTTTGCAGTAGAAAGAATATACAGAATTTTCCTGCATGAAAAGGGCCTCAGGGATCAGAGAGTTTTGAGAGCAATTTTATTGGGATAGTTACTTAGCAAGCATGACAAAAGAATGATCAAATGACTTATAGAGGGGCTCCCATGGACCACAGTCAGCTATCTAGGACACCAAAAACTCAGTAGGACAAAGCTGGCTATCATTGGTTAGTTTGTTTCATCAGAAATGGCAAGCAAGCAGAAGATAATTATTCTTGGTATTTGCTACTGTAGGTTTGAGCTAACATTGTGTCACGCGGTAATGAGTCTGAATAAATATCAAGTAAAATGAGATTGGTTCATTCTGCCAACTTTATTGTGTGTGTATGTACCTGATTGCTGTTACTGCTGGTATTAGTAATGATAATAATAGCCATTAGATGGCAGCAGCTATTCATAGCAGATGAAGCAAGCAGTGGACATGATTTGTTTTGAGATTTTTAAAGTCATCTTTGTGTTTCTTGCTACAGAGAAAAAAAAAAGAGTATGCAGGGATCCAGCAACTCTGCTTTGTTGAGGCCTTTATGCTGCTAATTAAGAAGTTATGGGTTCTTTCTTATTCAGATGGTACCAGGGGCTGGTTCTGTGCCTGCTATCCAGAGGATCCCCTTGCCTGGAGCAGAAATGCTTGAAGAGGAGCCCCTCTATGTGAATGCTAAGCAGTATCACCGGATTCTGAAGAGGAGACAAGCTCGGGCCAAACTAGAGGCAGAAGGGAAAATCCCCAAGGAAAGGAGGGTAAATATATAATTGCAAAGTATAAGGAAGTACATTGGGTCTTTTTGTGGTCTATAAGTTAGTAGTCATAAGATCAATCTGTTTCCCCTTTGACTTTTCTAGAAATTTATCTATAGTGCTTTTCTTTGTCTTCATTGGTAATAATTAGCTGAGAGACCCAATTTGGTATATGAACATCATCTTCCATGTTTATGTGAATTATAAGAAGGGAGACAGAATGGTGTTTTGGGTATTAGTAGATTTTGACATTTGGGAATCATAGAGTTGGAACCAAATTTTTATTTCAAACAAGCTTTACTTATTTACGGTATTCAACTGATTATCAGATTTTCTTCCTGACCATTCTCTACTTTTCCCACTGAATTGAAGTTATTTGTCTTTTACATTGCCAAACGTAGTACCTTGCATGTCATAAGGTACTTAAAAACTGTTCATTGAATTGAGACTATGTATGCTCAAGCTGTTTTGAGCGGGAAATTATACTTAAATAATTGAGGTCTAGAGATAAGTTAATAGCTAAATAGAAGATCTCTGTCATTGCAGAAATATTTACATGAGTCTAGGCATCGTCATGCCATGGCAAGGAAACGTGGAGAAGGTGGTCGATTTTTCTCTCCAAAGGAAAAGGATAGTCCTCACATGCAGGTAATGATAGTAGTAATAAGAACAATGACTGCCATAAACCTAGGAAGTTAGTTGTAACAAATGTACATTATCTCATTTGATCCTCATAACAACCTGTGAGATAAGTACTAATGTTAATCAAAAAGCACTTATTAAGCACCTGCTATGTGCCAGGCAGGCACTGTGCTTGGTACTGGAGAAAGTTAAAAAATGAAATTGTCTCTGCCCTCAAGTAGCTTACATTTTATTGGAGGAGAAAACATGTAGTCAGTGAATAGTTAACAAACGAAAGTTATTAAGTGCTTACCATGTGCCGAGCAATGCCCTGAGAATACCCCCCAAAAGAGCAGAAATAGTCCCTGCTCTCAAGGAACTCAAATTTGAATTGGGGAGACACCATGTAAACAGCTATGTATATCCAGGTAAATTAGAGGTAAACTGAGGGGGAAGGCACTAATATAAATGGATATGGAGCAAGAGGTTTCTTGCAGAAGGTGAGATTTTAGCTCAGATCAATATATATATATGTATTTGCAAAGTAAATACAAAATGATTTTTTGAAGGAAGGCCCTAAACATCTTGGAAGAATCAGTAAAGGTTTCTTACAGAAGATGGCATTTTAACTGAGCTTTGAAGGAAACTTAGTAATATTCTGAGAGTTGGAGGTGAGGAGGGGTACAGTCAGGCGTACAGCCAATGCAAAGGCAGAGAGATGGATGTTTGAAGGGGAGAAATAGTAAGAAGGCCAGTTTAGCTCGACTGTAGAGCCTGTGAAGGGGAATCATGTATAATATGGCCTGAAAAGTGGTCTGCTAAACCGAGGAGTTTATGTTTGATCCTGGAGGTGATAGGAAGCCACTGGAGTTTATTCATCAGGGGAGTGACTTGGTCAGACCTGTGCTGTGTGGAGAATGGGTTGAAGAGGGGAGGAGACCAATTGAGTTAGCAGTAAGACCAATTGGGAGTCCATTGCATTAGTCCAGGTCAGAAGCGATAAGAAATTGAATTAAGTTTGTGGTTGTGAGTGGGAGAAGAATGTGAGAAATGGGGGCAGCTAGGTGGTGCTGTGGATAGAGCTCCAGCCTTGGAGAATCTGAGTTTAAATCTGGTCTCAGACATTTGACACTTACTAAATGTGTGACCCTGGGCAAGTCACCAAAAAAAAAAAAGAATGTGAGAAGTGTTATATAAAGGTAGAGTAAAAACAAGATTTGGAAACTGAATGTATGGGCTGAAAGAGTCAAAGATGAACCAAGCTTATGAACTTGGATGACTGGAAAGATGGTTGTGCCTTCAACAGATGGAGGGAAATTCAAAAGAGGTTTGGAGAAAGCAGTAATGAATTCTGTTTTGGACATGTTGGGGTTGAAGTTCCTTTGGAATATCCACTTTGAAATGTCTAGTACAGAGGTGTCAAACACACAGACTGGGCTACTTTCGGCCCACATCATGCCCTAGTACAACCCAAAGCAGATTAAAATGTAATTGGGATATATTCAGCAAAATAAAAATGCAATAAAATGTATCACACTTTAAAGTTAAGTCAGTATGCAATGTACAGCAATCCTTATGTACAGAGTAGTGGCTCCCATTTCCATTTGAGTTTGACACCACAGGTCTAATAGACAGGTGATTTGGAATTCTGGAACTCAATCTAGGGCTGGATCTGAGTCTTTTGTATAGAGATGGGAGTTGGTGAGGTCACCAAGAGAACAGAGAAAGAAGAGAAGAGGCCCCAAGACAGTACATTGCAGTACCCCAGAGTTAGCTGTGGAATATGGATGATGATGGAGAGAAGGATTGGGCAGCTAGGTCAGAGGATTGCCAAGAAAGAGCAGGTGTCCCAGTAATTCTGAGAGAAGAGTGTGTCTAGCATTGTCAGAGGCTGCACAGAGGTCACAAAGGATGAGGATTGAGAGGAATCCATTGGACTTGGCAGATAATGAATATTTCAGATGATTATTATCATCATCCCTAATTTTCAGATTAGGAAATTGAAGTGCAGAGCTGAAGTGACTTGCCCATGGTTGCATAGCTAGTACATGTCAAGATGGGGTTTGAACACAGAGCTCTCCTGACTCCAGGTCCAGCATTCTTTCTACTACTTCTCTTCTCATTGAGTGAGGATTTCGTTCTGTGACATTGCCCTGTCCTCTTTTCTTCCTTTTATTTTCTGGATTAAGGGTCAGCTAAAAGGGGCAGCTAGGTGGGACAGTAGATAGAGCGCTGGGCCTGAAGTCAAGAAGTCTCATCTTCCTGAGTTCAAATCTGACCTCAGACACTTAATAACTGTGTGACTTTGGGCAAGTCACTTAACCCCCTTTGCCTCAGTTTCCTCATCTGTAAAATGAAATGGAGAAGGAAATGGCAAATTACTCTACTATCTTTGTCAAGACCCCAAATGGAATCATGGAAAGTCAGATATGACTAAAAAATGATTCAATCACAACAAAGGTGGCACAGTGGATATAGTGTTGGGCTTGTAGTCAGGAAGACATGAGTTCAGATCCAGTCTCACTGAGTGACCCACAAGTCACTTAACCAGTTTGCCTTAGTTTTCCTCATCTGTAAAATGAGGATGACAGTAGCACCTATTTCCCAGGATTGTTATGAACATTAATAATAACGATAATGATAATGATAACAACTAACATTTATATAGTACTTATTACATACCAGGCACAATGCTAAATGTTTCACAGTTACTATGTCTTGATCCTCATAGCATTGTAAAGTGCTTAGCACAGTGCCTGGCACATAGTAAACGCTATATAAATGTTAGCAGCTGTTAAATCTTTATCTCCAGTCGTGACATCTTAACCTTCATGCCAGTCACACATTCCCAACTGCATACAGAATGTTAATTGGTCACTTCAAATTGAGCGTATCCAGAACTAAATTTATTATTTTAGCTTCCAATTCCCTTCCACAATTAGCCAGTAGTTGTTCATTACAACCTTTGTCACTTTTTTCCAAATTGGAAACACTGGCATCATCTATGTGTGTAACTTATCACCAAGTCCTTTTGGTTCCTTTATCACGATGTTGGTAGACTTCATCCTGTCCTCTTACCCATGATTGAGCCTACTCGACTTCAGTTGTCTCCTGGTCAGTTTTCTATTTCTAATCCATCCTTCACAGCACCAGTGCCAGATTAAGTTTCCTTAATATTTCCATCATATCCTTACTGGGCTCAGCAGTCTACTTGGGTATCTCATTTCCTATGACATCAGGTCCAGGCCCTTTTGCCTAGTTCAAGACCTTCCACCTGGATTTCACTTTTCCTATCCAGTCTTACTGGCTGTTTTTTTTTTTTAGAGCATGATTTCTCTGTTTCATCATTCAGCAAGCATTTAAGTGCCTTCTATGTGGTAGGTAGTACCTCCTACTGAGAATGAAAAGACCAAAAAAAATTTATATAATCCCCACTCTCAAGAAGATATATTTCAGTCAGATTTCACACTTCATTGCCTCTGCCCAAGTTATGAATCCTGCTTTTATGCTTTGGTTTTTGCTACTTCCCCATTCTGGAATGCCCTGTGCCCCTCCTCCTCCTCTTCACCTACCCAAGTTTTACCTCCTATATGAAGCCTTCCCCAAGTACTTTGATTCACACCTCCCCCCAGTTATGTCTCTGACCATAATAGATAATTAGGAGATTCTGTTATTAGTCAAACTGGGTTCTCATCCTGCTGAATAAAGCCTGCCTTCCAAACCTGGCTTTAGAACCTCATGGGGTTCTACTAAGTACTAAAAATTGTTATGTAAAAATTACATAATAAAGGTTATTCCAAGAGAGCATTCAAACCTAGATAGAGACTGTACCTTTCACCCAATGTTCTTGGCACATGTGACTGGTTAGGTCTTTCCAGGAATGTTGCCAGCTGTACTCTTCTGGGGACAGTACTATCGTAGACAAAACCTCTGCCAATCTTCTGGGCTGCCATCTTACTAGCCCATGACTCTCCTGAGAATGCTGGAGGCACCTTCTTCCTCGGCCAGGATCAAGGGTCTCATCCCTATTGAAATACACCAACCAGTGGATATCCAGTTTCCTGTTACTGTTCCTCATAGACTCTTTCCCCCTGCCTCACCCACTGGTGTTGCCAGGGGCCAGAAATTTGGGTTCCTGGAGGGTCTGATTCCCAGAAAAGAAATAGGGCAAAGTACTGAGATGCTGATAAAAACATTTTTCTTTTTTAAGAAAAAGTATGGATCAATCCTCTTCCCAGTTTGGGAACAGAGGAGAGAGGGACTGAGAACAGGGTGGGACCCCGAAGTCTGAGACTTCTTGGTTCGCCATTCCCATTACTTGTTCTATGGCCCTATTCATTTACAGAACTCCAGAAAAACTATGAAAAACAGCAACAAAATCTTTTTTGGTCAAAAACCAAATCATGGAACCTATAGATAAATTCCTTTAAAAAACTGTAATTATGAAACAAAATACTGAAACTTTAGGAGGGTAGCCAAAAGAGGAACACAGGCTGTCAACAACTGTATGAAACAGTACTCCAGATCTCTAATAATAATAAAAATTCATTTTGAAACAGTTCTGAGGTTCCACCTCACATTAGAACTGGAAAATGACAATTGTTGGAAGAGCTATGGGAGCACAGACATTGGTAGTAGAGCTATGAACTGATTAAATACTTATAAAAAATAATTTGGATCCAAGCCTAAACTGCATATCCTATAATTTGGCAGTACCACTATTAAGGGTATGCCCCAGGAAGATAAACAGACACTGGGGAAGAAAAATATTTATAGCAATACTTTTATTGTAACAAAGAATTAGAAACATGGTGGGTGCTTCTCAGTTGTAAAATCAATGGACCAATTTTGGAACGTTAATATATTGGAATATTGCACTATAAGAAATGACCGAAGGGACTGATTGAGAGAAACCTGGGAAGGATTTATTTGAACTGATTCAGGGAGAAGTGAATAGAACCAAGAGAACAACGTATAAGAAGACTACAGCATTGTAGAAGAGCATGACTGAAAGAATTAAGAACTATGATTATTGCAGTGACTGATCAGGACTCCAGAAGTCAGATGATAAATCAGTCCTCCTTCCCATCTCTTGGCAGAGGTGATGGCCTCCTGGTGCATTATGATGAGTCATTTATTTGGGGACTTAGCAAACGTGTGTGCATTTGTTTTGCTTAACTGTGCTTATTTGTTACCTGGGAAAACTTTAATCTTTTTCTGGGGTTGGAAGTGAGGAAGGGTTATGAGACTTAGGCCAAAAAAAGAAAAGAAAAGATAGAAAAGAAAGTGAAGATTGTTTTTTTAATATACAGAAGAGAACAGAGGAAGCAGGTCAGTGTTGGTACTACAGTGTTAACTTATGATATCCTTAAACCAGGGTTACATAATAGAGTTTTACAGTTCCATATACAATTCTTTTTTCTTTGTATATGAAAATGTTAATGTCTGTTGATTTTCAGATTCATAATTTTAAAAAGAATATTTTTAAGAATTATGTTATTTTCATCTCTAAGTAGATTGTAGCTGTCAGTTGTGGGCCAGGCCTGACTCGATCCAGTCTGGTGGATTGGAGGGAAATGAGACTCTCATAGATCATCTAACAATTAACAAAAAGAAGCTCACTTAATAGCATGGAGAGGATTTTCAGCAAGGATACAACCTTGATACAGTTGAGTGAAGTTCCCCCTACCTTCACATTAGCCAGCAACTCCTATGCATTTCTCTCCCACCACTTCAAACAAGAGGTCCTACTGATTCAGTCCTGCCAATAAAGGCCAAAATAAACTTATAGACTAACATTCAAAAAAGGAGTTTTAGTCAACAATAGCACATAAAGGATATTTAGCAAGGATATAATAGTTCCCCTTGCTTCCAAATTTGCCTTGATAGCACTCTTGGTCAGAAATATGTGCCATACCCAAGGAGCCCCGAATTCCTCCTGTTGCTGGTTTTTTGTATTTAGGTGAAGAGAGATTATTTCAGTAGTTGAAACCTTAGTCTTTTGGACCAGTGAATGGTTTCATTCTCATTTAAGGAAAAGCAAACAGCCTATCTGCCAGGAACCCTAGTTCCTGGACCTAGATGTTCCTTCCACAAGCTCCACAAGACAGGGATTATTTTATATTTCTCTTGTAATTCCTGCTAGGGACATAGTTGGCACTTATAAGTACCTGTATGTTGGAAGTGGAATGTGTTAGCCCCATCTCTTCTACCTTTTAAAAAGGCAGTGTGCAGGCAATGCTAACCGTTCCATATACTTATTGCAAACTGTGTAGACAGATACACTTTTTGTATACTGAATTTTGTTTTTGATAAAGCTGTTTTTTTCTATGAAGACTTGTTGCGAAAATCATAAGTATTTAACTTTGGAGAAGAAAGGTGATTTTTTTTATCGTTTCTTTGTCTACAGGATCCAAATCAAGCAGATGAAGAAGCAATGGCACAAATGATTCGAGTATCCTAACCAAGAGCAGAGAGAGCGAGCTGATCCAGGTTCCTCTCCACTGTGTCCCGTTATCCCAGGAAATTGAGCAGACCTTCCAGTGGGACACTCATGATCACATTCTGACCTTTTCTACGAAACAGCAACCACTTGATTTTTCATAAGTGGTTTGGTATTATAATTGCAGTGATCTCTGGTGAATTGAAATTCCAAGGACTCTGTCCCACCCCTCTCAGTCAGGACTTCAGACTATTAATGACATTAGTCTTTCATATATTTGGATGGTACAAGAGACAAAAAGCCAATGAGACAGTACTACAAGCAGCACTTAATTTCGCTGGTGAAGCAGGGCCATCCCAGGGGAGAGATACTGTTCAATCGTTAGCAAGACTGCAGTCCAGGAAACCACAGCCCACTCCTTCCCATTTGGAGTTTGGTTAGTCTCATCCATCCATGAAGTTTGAGATTTTATGTGTGACCAACAGAATGAAGAACATGTTGCATGCAGAGATGACTTTCAGAAAGAGGAAATTGCCATCCTGTGATGTGTAAAGAACATGCTATTCCCTAAGAATAAGGTTCAGTCAGCCTATGATTGTAGCAAGAACCTGAATCCACCTGTTTGGTTTAATGCCAAGGGGAAGAAAATGTACTTCTGGAGTAAAAGACTCAAAGACTCACTAGCATTTTAAAATGCTTCTCTTCTCAGCTTAGGTGGTCTTACCTGCCTTCCCACACTGAAAATGTAACTGATATATAGAGATCACCTGGATCACAGATTTTCTCATTTTTCCCCCTATGAGGTGCTAGGGATGGTCAGTCCTAGAAGTTGCCATTCCTGGAGCAGAAAACAGAACAACTTAAATTCTTTTTGCATTCAGATGCTGAGAACATTTGTAGTCAGTAAATGTCAAGAGAGCGAAACTGTAGGTTACTGATCACAGACTTTTTGTAAAACTGTCAATCTTTGACAGCACTTCAGGAATAGAAGGGAGAATGCAATGATTTGTTATTTTTTGGGGGGGGGGGAGTATGTGTGTGTTTGTTTTATAACATGACTCTGGAGACCTGGAGTAGATTGTTAGGAAGCGAAGAGTGAGCAACAGATTCATACTAAAACCTAACCTATCAAGGGAGTAGAAATTCACTTACTGTCTTTTAGTCTGCGATTTATTTTGTTAGTCCATGGCCATTTCCAAAAACCATTGCTTTCACCTAGGTGCCGTGATTATTCCATGTTACTTATTGGAGCCAGTGATGAAATTTTGTTCGTGCAGCAAATCCCCTTGGCAGCTGATGTATGGATGCCTAGTTCCACTTGCTTTCCCCATTTAAGATGTAACCTTATACTTTGATTCAGGGGTCTTGTACAGAAAGGCTTTCACATTGTACCCTTACTGTGGGACCAAACTGGAAATAGATCCTGGAGCCCTCAAAACATCAGGAATGGAGCAGAGTTACCAGATCTGAGTACCCATCATAAAACAAGCTTCCACCTTTTGGACCTTGTGGTTCAGAGAATTAAGATGATAGTTTTCGAAGAGTCACTGTCTTTTGAACAAAAGTGGTAAAAATATTCAGTATTTCTACGGAAAAAAGCTGGAGCTAAGTATAAGGGAAAGGGGGATGCTTTCTCAATTTTGTCTTCCCTGTAAACATGTTGCATGAAAAAGGAAGGGAAAAATTAAACCTTTAAAAGGAAATGAATCTAAAAAATAAGGGCTGTTATGGGGACAGTGGCAGAGGTATGGCTGGGTACATTTCCCTCATCCCAGGACTAATAGGTTCTGGAATCCATGTATCTAGTGTGGCTTCTAGATGCCAGGAGGTTCTGCCCCTTTCAGATGCTCCCTTGGGAAGTGATCATTTGTTATTCTGTAGTTTCAGAGGCTTGGTTTACTTGCTAAGAACAAAGTTTGTATGATGATGATAAAACAGAAGGGCTTTAGATTCCTGGTTTATCTTTCGGATCCAGTATTAAAAGAGTAAGCCCCTCAAACCTGATCTCTAAAGCTCAAGCTCATTAAGGAAAGCAATTTTTAAACTGTATTTATTTATGTTTGTAAACTTGTACATAGTAACAACCCTGCAAATGTTCTGTTATTCTATTTTACATCTTTTAGGTTCTTTTAGGGTTTTTTATTGTTTGAGGTTTTTTTGGTGGGGGAGGGGGATGGTGGGAGGAAAATACTTCAGTTTTCAATTTCACTTTTGCATTTAGAGTGTCAGGTCTTTTTTTGTTACCTTGAAACACCATGACTTTGCAAGGAAAGTTTGGGATTTGGGAAATTATTTTTATTTGCTCCTAGGAAATCCTTTCCTTATTTGTAGGTGTGACTGTTCTAATGATCTTACAATTGAAAAAGTGGTTGACTGGATGAATGAATGATTGGCATAATGTATAGTGTTATATTTCATTTGAGTACTTTTTTTTTTGCAGGATAATTGTGTGTGTATGTATATATAAATATAAATATATTTTTAAGTGCATTGTTACATATTAACTTGTCCATGTCTATACCGCTGGACCAGGGGAACGTTTTCTGGGTTGTGGGTGCCTGTTAATAATGTCTTGGCTTTCATTTGTGACCTTAAGCTATATGAAGGTTTTTCCCCTAGAGAGGGGAGTACAGGTGATCATTGGTGACATGGGAATTCAGAGTAATTTCCCATTGTTATTTTTTAAAAGAAATTTATAAAAATATTAAAATAAAAGTTTGTGTTTTAGGGAAGCACTTATTCCTTCGACTCCTTCCATCCTGTGTTCATAAATCTAGCTGGTTTGTCTGAGGTGGCAGATATTAATTTTGTAAAACGTAAGGTTTTCCTTGGACTCTTATCAAGGAAGTCATCAGGTTTTTTAAAAATTTTTTTTAATATAAATTTATTTATTTTTAGTTTTCAACATTCACTCCCACAAGTTTTTGAATTCCAAATTTTCACCCCATCTCCCCCTTGCCCCCACCCCAAGATGTCATGCATTCTGAATATCCCTTCCCCTAGTCTGTCCTCTCTTCTATCTCTCTCCCCTTCTCTTATCCCCTTCCCCTTCTATTTTCCTGTAGGGCAGGATAGACTTCTGCACCCCATTTCCTGTATTTCTTATTTCCCAGTAGCATGTGAAAACATTTTTTTAAACATATGTTTTTAAAACTTTAGGTTTCAAATTTTCTCTCTTCCTCCCTCCCCACCCACCCTCATTGAAAAGGCAAGCAACTCAATATGGGTTGTAACGTGCAGTTATGCAAAACGTGTCCATAGTAGACATGTTGTGAAAAACTAACTCTATTTCCCTTAATCTTACCCTGCCCTCCCATTTATTCTTTCTTTTGACCCTGTCCCTCCTCAGAAGTATTTACTCCTTTTCCAATCTGCCCTCCTCTCTATCATCCCCCTGCTCTTCTCCCCCTATTTTCCTGTAGGGTAAGACAGATTTCCATACCCAATTGAATGTGTATGTTATTCCCTCCTTAAGCCAAATCCTATGAGAATAAGATTCACTCATTCCCTCTCACCTTCCCCTGTTTCCCCTCCACTGTAAGAGACTTTTCTGTTTTTTTTTGTGAGATAATTTACCTCATTCTACACCTCTCTTCTTCTCTGAGTATAATCCTCTCTCATCCCTTAATTTTATTCTCCAGATATGACCCCTTAATCTTCAACTCAACCTGTGCCCTCTATCTATCTATCTACATATAAGTACATATAATTTTTTTCTTCCAACTACCCTAATACTGACAAAGGTCTCATGAGTTATAAATATCTTTCAATGCAGGAATGTAAACAGTTCAGTCTTAATAAGTCTCTTATGATTTCTCTTTCCTGTTTACCTCTTCATGTTCCACTTGAGTCCTGTATTTGAAAGTCAAATTTTCTATTAAGCTCTGGTCTTTTCATCAAAAATGCTTGAAAGTCCTCTATTTCACTGAATGAACTGTTTTTTCCCCTGAAGGATTATACTCAGTTTTGCTGTGTAGGTGATTCTTGGTTGTAATCCTATCTCCTTTGCCCTCTGGAATATTATATTCCATGCCCTGTTCCTTAATGTAGAAGCTGCTAAATCTTGTGTTATCCTGATTGTGTTTCCACAGTACTTGAATTTTTTTCTGGCAGCTTGTAATATTTTCTCCTTGACCTGGGAACTCTGGAATTTGGCTACAATATTCCTAGGAGTTTTCCTTTGGGGATCTCTTTCAGGAAGAGATCTGTGGATTCTTTCAATTTCTGTTTTGCCCTCTAATATATCAGGGCAGTTTTCCTTGATAATTTCTTGAAACATGATGTCTAGGCTCTTTTTTTGATCATGGCTTTCAGATAGTCCAATAATTTTAAAATTCTCTCTCCTGAATCTATTTTCCAGGTCAGTTGTTTTTCCAATGAGATATTTCACATTGTTTTCTAATTTTTCATTCTTTTGGATTTGTTCTACTGTGTCATGATTTCTCATAAAGTCACTATCTTCCAATTGCTCTATTCTAATTTTTAAGGAAGTATTTTCTTCAGTAAGCTTTTGGACTTCCTTTTCCATTTGGCCAATTTTGCTTTTTAGGGCATTCTCATTGGCCTTTTGGACTTCTTTTGCTATTTGGGTTAGGCTATTTTTTAAGATGTTATTTTCTTCAGTATTTTTTGGGGTCTCCTTTAGCAAGCTGTTGACTTGTTTTTCATGTTTTTCTTGCATCACTCTCATTTCTCTTCCCAGTTTTTCCTCTATTTCCCTTACTTCTCAAAATCCCTTTTGAGCTCTTCTAAGGCCTGGGACTGATTCATATTTTTCTTGGAGGCTTTGGATGTAGGAGCTTTGACTTTGTTGTCATCTTCTGGTTGTATATTTTGATCTTTTTCACCAAAGTAAGATTCTATGGTCTGACTCCTTTCCTGGCCTGTGACCACAAGTATTCCTTTCTGTGCTGTAACTGTGAGGAAGGGTTCCTCTCCACAGCCACTCCAAGCTCCACCACGCCAGCGTTCCTCCTCACCCCAACACCTCCGCCCAGAACTGTGACCCAGATCCAAACATGGGCAAAGCAAGAGATTCCTGCCTCAGCACTGGCAAGTGATCCCTGCAATCCCTCTCTGATCAGCCACTGAATTCCCCCTCAGTCTGTGGGCGGGAAGCTCGGGAAGCAGCTGTCCCCCCAGGGCCTTGCTCTTGGGGAATAGAGCTGAAACCCAACCTTCCTGTCTCAGCGCTGACAGGAACAGACTTTTCCCACTGACCTTCTAAGTTGTCTTTGGCATTAGTAGATTGAGGAGTCTGGAAACCTCCACAGCTGCTCACGATTGAGTCCTCAGAGGCCTGCTCCAGGTTCGCTGCAGCCTGCGTGCCCACACTGCCGTGCTACACTGCGCTCCTCCCCCTGCGCAATACACCTTTCTGATCGATCATCCAGGTTGTTTTGGGCTGGAAATTTGTTTCACTCTGTCTTTTTGTGGGTTCTGCTGCTCTAGAATTTGTTTAGAGCCATTTTTTATGAGTATTTGGAGGGGTTTGTAGGAGAGCTCAAGCAAGTCACTGCTTTCACTCCACATCTTGGCTCCACCCCCCGTCAGTTTGTTTTTCTAAGGGATAATACAGAAGTTAGATTTTATTCAGTATAGATCCAGTTGAGAGATTTTCTTTAAAGACACTAATGGCGAGGTAGGTGGCACAGTGGATAGAGTACTGTTTGATGTTTGATGTGGGCCTCAGACACTAGTTGTGTGACCTTGGGTGAGTCACTTAATCTCTGCCTCAGTTTCCTCAATTTTAAAATTGGAATAACAATAGTACCTATGTCCCAAGGTTTTTCTGAGGATCGATCAAATGAGATAATATTTGTAAAGTACAGCACAGTCCCTAGCACAGTGTTGGTGCTTAATAATTGCATGTTTCCTTCCTAAGGGGAAGTAGCATGGCGCTGTTGATAAAATGCTGGAATCAGAGGACCTGGAGTCAAATGCTGGATCTGCCACTTACTACTTGTGATATTTGGCAAGTCGTCATAATCTGAGCCTCAGTTTCCACAACTCTGAAATGAGGAGTTTGAACAAGATGATCTGAAGTTGCTTCCCAGCTTTAGATTTATGAACCTGTGAGATCATCTGAAGTTCAAATCTGGCCTCAGACACTTACTAGCAGTGTGACCCTGAGCAAGTTGATTAACTGCATTTGCCTCAGTTTCCTCATCGGTCAAATGAGCTGGAGAAGGAAATGGCAAATCACTCCAGTATCTTTGCCAAGAAAACCCCAAACGGGGTCATGAAGAATTGGACACAACTGAAAGTGAGAATAACAACATAGGAGATCTGGCTGTTGAGTGGTTTATTTAAAGTATCAACTGGACTGGAACCGTCTCTAACCTGTGGGTGGCCGGAGCTGAATAAAGCAGGTTAGAGACAGGAGAATCAGGAATCAAACAGAAGTTTAATTTCAAAGTGAGGAAAGCAGCTTAAAAGCAAAAATATGTGCTGGATCCCCACCCCTAGTGGGGCCCTGAGGCAGTGTGGGGAGATCTCAATACTTACACCAATGGCTGTGCAATGAGCTGTAGTTTCAGTTGAATGATGAGGTCAGAAGTCAGATTTCAGGAGGAGTGAGAAGAGAAGAAACTGAAGAAAGGAGTATACAGTTTGGTTTTACTAGGAGTTTGGTTGAGAAAAGGGGGGAGGAATATAGAATGAAAATTGCTTGAAGGGATGGTAGAATCTAGTAAAAGGCTTTTCAAGGATAGGGAAGATGGGCACATTTGAAGGCAGTAAGGAAGAAATCAGTAGATAGAGGCTGAAGATTAAATAGGAGAGGGCATGATTGAGGTTGCAATCTGTTGGAGAAGAAAGGAAGGGATGGAATTAAGGTCATATGTTAATGAAGGATTAGCCTGACCAAGAGAAAATCCAACATCATGGTCAGATATCTGGGGAAAGGAGGAGAATGGGGAATGATGTCCAGGGGTTTTGAAAGGAATAGAGAGGAGAGGAGGGAGCTATAGGCAAGTAGCCTAAATATCCACGTTCTCAGTAAAATAAGAGATAAGATCCTAATCTGGCAGGGTGGGTTGTGTGAAGGGGGGGGCGTGGCATTGAGGGTCCAGTTGAAGTTGTATATATGAACTTATAATGTATAAAGCATAGTTCTTTGACTTTCTCTACCACCATTCATCGAGATAGCTTATTTACAAAATATTTCAAAGGGATCATTTTTCCTTTGAGTTTTTAGATATGCAGTTTAAATACTTTACTTTCCCTCCCCCTCTCACCCCCCACAAATACATGGTGACAGTCCTTAAGCCAATCACAAAATAATCAGATTTCCAGACCCTCTTGGAATTGGTATTTACAATATTTAAGATCTATGAGGGGGAAAAAATGTTAATACCGGGCAGAAAAATTAACCTTTTTCTAATGCTTGTTTTTTATTTAACCTTCCTAGTGGAGTAATTCCTGATGTTAGAGGCTATGGTTGTTTTTATAGTGTTTGGATTCAAACTCTTTAATATCCAAAGTACCATTAGTTATGTAAAAAATTCTAAGATATGAGGTTGCATACATTACACCAGCCCCATAAGGCAATCTTCCAAGAATACAATCCCATTAGATCAGGAGTCCTTGACCCTGGGATCCAGGAACTTGCTTTTAAAACTATTTTGATAACTATTTAAATATAATTGGTAGGGATGGTTTAACATAATTGATTATATCAATAACAAAAGTAACAAAAATCATATGATTATATCAATAGATGCAGAAAATGCCTTTGG